GATGACCATGCCACAGTCCCTTCCCCATCATTCTCTTGTAGGAATTTTGGGCATGCATGCACATGTACCGAGCATGTTTTTTAAGCCACCAGGTCCAGGACTCAAACGGCACAGTCACCCATGTAGGATCCAGCCACTTTAGTCACTACGCCGTTGGCCTTTAAGCTTATTTCTTCCATGACAATGAGCAGGGCAGTACTTTCAACACGATCTCGTGCCATGATTTCCCTGCAGCCTTCCCAGCCAGCCAGGATCAGGTGCACTGGTCGGCCAGGGATCTTTTCCTTTTTTTTTTTTTTAAGAATTATTTACAGCTTAACTACTGCACTCCCAAGCTGGCTTCTGTAGGCTTTTTCTTTACATCATGAACTCAAGAACACGGAGGAAAAAAAGGAGGCGTCACATCCTACACGCTAATCCTTTCGCAGTGTCACAGCCTGTTCACTGTAAACACAACATGCCTTTTTAGGAAATAACCCTGGGTGTGGGGTGTAGCCAGTCTCCAGCTTATGCTACACTAAAGTCATTTTTTTTTTAAAGGCACATTATATTATGTCTTAAAACCTCCTTTCTATTATTTTAGCTAAAATTCAGTCTCTGGGGCAAGTAAGTGACATGGTGGTTAAGATGCTGGATTCGACAGGACCAAGCACAGATTGAGCCCTGGACCTGACAGCTTGGAAATCATTCCGGGTGCATGTGCACACGTGCTGACAGTCCTGAGAGGAGAACGGAGAAAGGATTGCAGCGTGGCCACCCCCTATGTGGGGTGACTTCTCACTTTCCCTCTCTGTCTCTCTTACTCTGATGCATGCACGTACCTCGGGGCAAAAAACACTTCAGACCCAGTGGTTCGCATGTTACATGCATGTCAACACAACACACATGTCATGTGTGGAAGGCATGTAAAAGGGACACAGGTCTCTGATGTCAAAAGTGACATGTGTCACGTTCATTTCACATGTGTATCAAGGTGACACAAGTCACATGTGTGACACACGTGGGAGAAATGACACGTGTCACTTTCACATCAAAAGTGACACACATGGGAACCAGCAGTTAGCGTAATGGCTATGTCGCTGGACTCCCACGGAGTCGACCGCGGTTCGTGTCCCGGACCCGGTGGCTTAAAACTCACGCCGGGCATGTGTGCGTGCGTGCCCAAGATCCCGAGAGGAGAATGGAGGAGAAGGGATTGCGGCGTGACCATCCCCCCTGGGGGGTGATTTCTCGCTTTCTGTCTCTATGTCTCTCTCTCTGTCTGTCTGGCGAACGCATGCGCCCTATAGCGGAAAAACCTCTCAAAAAAAAAAGTGACACACATGACACTCATATGAGAGAAGTGAACACACGTCACACACAACCCACACGTAACCCGAGGTGTGTAATGTACATGCCACACATGTGTCAAAGATGACACACGTGTCACCCACATGTCAAAAATGAGACATAGGGGGGCATCAGCTGGCATAGCAGTAACGTCACTGGACTCCCACAAGGCTGACTGCAGTTGAAGTCCAGGACCTGGTGGCTTAAAACTCATGCTGGGGTGCATGCGTGAGTGCCCAAGGTCCTAAGAGGAGAATGGAGAAGGGATTGTGGCATAGCCATCCTCCCGTGTGTGGGTGATGGTTTCTCATTATAAAAAAAAGGAGACGTCACCTGCATGTCACAAAGGACACATGTGACACATGCGTGTAAGGAGCGATACACGTCTCTTGCATGTCACATGAATGTTAAAAGGGACACATACGTTAAAAGTGACAAATGCGTCAAGTGAGGACTTGTCACTCCGCCGTCAAAAGGGATACTTCCGGGACCAGGGGATGGATGGCATAATGTTTACATCACTAGACTCCCACATAGTCAACCATGGTTTCAGTCCCAGACCCGGCAGCTTAAAACCCAGGCTGGGCATGTGTGTGTGTTTGCCCAAAATCTCGAGAGGAGAATGGAGAAAAGATTGCGACTTGGCTCTCTACCTGGTGGGTGGCTTCTTGCTTTCTGTCGCTCTATCTCTCTGTTGAGCACATGTGCCCTAAACCATAAAAACTCTCTCTCCAACCAAAAATGTTACTCACGAGTCCAGTCAGAGCCAAAACAAACCAGTCTAAGCTGGAGTTAACTGGTCAGAACCAGAATAAACCAGCCATATCTGGAATGAATTGGTCAGAACTGGAATAAACTGGCCTGAACCAGTCAAATCTGGTCTGAACAGGAAGAAAGTGGTCTGAACTTGACAAAACGGGTCTGCACTGGTCAGAACTGGCCTGAGCCAGAGTAAACTGGAATAAAACAGTCAGGTCTGGTCTGAACTGCAAGAAACCAGTCAGAACCGGAATAAACCAGCCAAGACTGGGCTTAACCACAATAAATCAGTTTGAACCAGAATAAACTGGTCGGAAATGGAATAAACCGATTTGAACTGGTCAGAACCTGTCGGAACTGGCCAGAATTGGTCTGAACTAAAATAAACTGCTTAGAACCAGAATAAACTGGCCAGAACGGTATGACTCACAATAAACTGGAATAAACTCTCCAGAATTGTTCTTCACTGGAATAAACCAATTTGAACCAGCCAGAACTGGTCTGAACCAGTTATAAAGTGATCTAAACCAGTCTGAGCTGGCCAGATCCTGTCAGAACCAGTATGAACCAAAAAGAACCAGCCAGAACCAAAGCAAACCGGTCAGAACCAATCTGAACCAGCCAGCCAAAACCGGTCAGAAGCAGTTGAAACTGAAATAAACTGGTCTGAACCGATCAGAACTGGCCCAAACTGGAAGAAACTGGTCAGAACCAGGATAAACCGACCAGAACCAGTGAGAACTGGAACCAGCTGGCCACAACCGGAATAAACTGGTTTATACCAGAATGAAGCAGAATAAACTGGAATAAACCAGCCGGAACCGGCATGAACCGCAATAAGCCTCCTGAACTGGAACAAACCAGTCAGAACTGGTATGAACCAGAACAAAGCTGTTTGAGTAGGCCAGAATCAGTCTGATCCACGACAGAACACAACCACAGAACCACAACAGAACTGGTTTGAACTGGCCAGCCAGAACCATTATGAACCAGAGTCAACCCACCAGAACTGGTCTGAATCAGTATGAACCCGAAATAACCAGCAAAACCCAGTCTGAACTGGAATAAATCGGTCTGAAACAGAATGAAGTGGTATAAACTGGTCTTACCTGGAATAAACTGGTTTGAACTGACCAGAACTGGAATAAACTGGCAAGAATTTATAAGAAGCAGAATAAATTGGAATACATGGGCCACAGCTGGTCTGAACCAGAATAAACTGGTTTAAAGCAGCTAGAACTAGAATAAAAGGGTCTCAAACAGTCTAAACTAGAATAAACAAGTCTGAACTGGAATCACCTGGTCTAAACCAGAATAAAACTACCTGCACCACTCCAATTAGGTCGGAACCAGTCTAAATCTGAAAGAACTGGCTGTTTGGAACGGTCTGAACCCATCAAACTAGTCTGTACACATCAGATCCCGTTAGGAAGAACCTGTCAGAACTGGCCGCAACCATTCTGAACTGGAATAATCTGGTCTGAACCAACATAAAGCCATTTGAAACCAGCAGGAACTAACCTGAATCAGAATAGATCCATCTGAAGTGGTCTTAATTGTAATAAATTGCTTTGAACGGGCCAGAACCAGTCTGAACCACAATAAACTGGCCTGAACCAGAATAAACTGACCAGAACCAGTCTAAGGGAGTGGGCTCTCCAAAACAGTTACATGGTAGTCTGAGTGACTGATTATCTCATTCTTTGTGGGGTCAGCTGACCGTAGTGTTCTGTACTTCTTGTTAGAGTACAGTTACTCATGGGTGCTGGATTTCCCTTTTTTCTCTCTGGTTAAATTAAAAAATAATAGTAACAAGTGGAATTAAGTAAATATTTTTTCTGAGAGGTTTTTGCTATAGGGCGTGTGCACTTGCCAGAAAGACAGAGACAGAAAGCGAAAAATAATCACCCAAGGGGAATGGTCATGGCACAATCCCTTCTCCATTCTCCTCTCGGGATCTTGGCCACACATGGACACGGGCCCGGCATGAGTTTAAGGCACCTGGTCCAGGACTCGAACTGCAGGCGACTACATGGGAGTCCAGCAACATAGCCGTTATGCCAACTGCTTTTCCCTGTAAATAATTCCTTTTTTTTTTTTTTGGTAAAGAATTATTTATTTAATTTCATTTATTCATTCATTCATTTTATTTTTTATTTTAATCTGACCAGAATGAGACTGAGAGAAAGAGAGAGAGATAGAAAGTAAGCCACCAGGTCTGGGACTTGAACTGTGGTTGGCTATGTGGGAGTGTCTTAACCACCATGCCACCTGCTGATCCTCCCCATCAAATAATTATTAAAAGAAAAAAATATGTTCATGCCAGTTCCGGCTGGTTTATTCCAGTTTTTTCTGCTTCATTATGGTATAAACCAGTTTATTCTGGTTCTGGCCAGTTTATCCTGGTTCTGACGGGTTACTTGGGACCAGCAGAGGGTGTAATGGTTCATTGGACTCCCACAGCTTGAGTCTCTGACCCAGTGGCTCAAAATAAAATAAAACACACGCAAATGAACCCCCATAAAAAAATAGCACTTGGCTACAGTTGCCTTGAGTCCAATTGCAGCCAACTCTTGGCTGTGAAAACTTAGCCACTAGAACCGTCCACACCTTGGACTTACATTGTCTTGAACAAAACACAGAAGATGGCATGATGGTTAAAGTGTTGGAATTCCCACATGGCCGGCCATGGTTTGAGTCCCAGACCTGACGGCTTGCTTTTGCTCACTCCCCCTTCTCTCTCTGTCTTTCTCTGGCAAAACTCATTTGAAAAATAATATTAACAATAATAACAAATAATTCTTTATAAACACACACACACTCAGAAGAAAGAGCCACAAGAGAAAAGCTAGAACCCGAAGATAAAGCACCAACTGCAAACTTACTGCCTTTTCACTGGCTGCTTCCCCCAGGCAGGCCACACCATTCCTGGAAGTACTACACCAGAAACGTGCATGGAGTTGATGGAGTAGCCTCCTATTCCATCACCCTGCTCCAAAAGCCCACTTAATATATTGTCCTCAGAGGACATACCAGATAGTCATCTGAAAAAAACAGATACCACACTTGATCTTAGCCAAAAGGCGAGAAGCAATGCCCTGCCTTGCTGCCCTCGCCCTTACCACCCTCCTATGGTCCACATTCAGCTCGTGGTGACAGCCCCGACACTGGCGCCTCGCCTCATTTCCTCTGCCTCCGGCACACTCGTGTGGACGCAATGGGACACTTATACTGATTTTCCTTTACTCGCCACATATTCAGCCAGAAATCTCACATCCGTGGCCGCTCTGGTGTTCCCAGGTTCGAATATGCATGGCCCTGCTATACCCAGGCTTGAAGACGTAAATGGCCCCGTCCACGGACCGCTCTGGACCGCTGTTCTTTCAGAGCGCCTTCTCCTGGCTGAAGCTCTGCTGTTCTGGTGGCTCCTTGCATCTCCTTCCTGCTCTTTTCCCCCAGCCCAGCGTCCTCGGCTCTGAGCTCCTGTGGTCTGGGCAGGTTCCTTGAACATCCTCGTCCGAGCCCATGGGTAAAATGAGTTTGGACTTCTTTCTTGTGTATGTTCCAGACCCTAGCATTCAGCTCTCCACTGGACAGCTCTTGCTTGACCCTCCGGCACCGCACATTCAACAGACCCCACGCTGAGTGCTGTTTCCCCAACCCCCACTCCTCCTTCCGGGTCCGTTGTATCATTCATCAAAGCCAGCCCCACGTGCCCTGGAGAAAACCCCACCATGTCATTGGGCCACTACACTGCATCAAATGAGGGGACTTCAAAGCATTCGTGGAGAAACAAAACTTATGAATTTATTTCAATTTCAAAAGAAATTGAACTCTGGGTACAGCTTTTCCATAATATGCATTTTCCTTGAGCATTTTAAAGACCCTCATAGAGTTGCTCTTCCTCCCAGTGAGCACGAAATGACGGCCATGTCCTGAGCCACTATTTCCAGGGACCGTGATCCAGGTATTTCTGCTCCTGTTACTGAATTCAAATCAGGTCCGCTCGCCCAAGCGCTATGAAACCAAACCAGAGGCACACGGTGTGGTGAAGGAAAGTACAGCCCTACTGCAAAGCGCAAAGCAAGGAGAGCGGGCAGCTCGTGCTGAAAAGACCCGTCTCCCCGAGATGTTCCCCACGTGCGTTTTTAAGGGCAAAACTAGGGGCAGAGGTCCCAGGTTCATGATCAGTTCAGTGATTGGTTCAGGAGGGTGTGATCATCTCATGGGCATTCTTGATTGGTGAGGCCTTAGATAATCAAATTTCTCTTCAGGTGTCTGGAACCGTTCAGCCTGGAGTCTTTGAGCTCACAACCAGCAGTTTCCAGCCTATAGAACACCTCACATATTGAAATGAAAACCTTCTTTCCTTTAAGTGAGAGTTTTAGAGGTCAAATGGCCCTCACTCATGGTCCATGTTGGTCATTATCATGACCAAAGTCTGAAGACTTACTCCTTACTCTGGGCCATTATAATGTAAATGAACTTTATATTTCAGGAACCCTCTAGAAAATACATTAGGGGATCCTTGCTCGGTTTCCCTCTGAACAGGGGCAGTAATGGTTGCGACAGTGAACACAGAGAAATCCTTCCCCCAGGAGGGAGAGGCTCAGCGTTACTGTTGATTTCTTCCTTGGTTTTGTAAGAGAAGTAGAGACCAGCACATCAGCGGAGACAGGGAGGCAGCTGGGGTACTCTGCAGTTGCCACCCCAGAGCACAGGGGAGGGAATTGCCCCGCTAAAGGCCCAGGACCTAGACTGTGGCCTCCACCCCCGAGAGAGCAGTAGCTGGGGGATTCCTGCAGGCACCAACCACTGGCGCTCTGCGCTCTGCGGCTGCAGGGAGGAGCTGACCTCTCCCTCTTATCTCTGTTCTTAGAACAAAGTCGGGAAGGCTGCACCCATGTTTTTGCCACTGTGTGGGGGAGAGTTTTGTTTTGAAAAGTGTCTTAAGGCCAAGTTGGGGGAGGCAAGGGTGCCTCTATGTGTCACAAAAGAAACGGTCTGTTTGGGGCTTCAGGACAGTCTCCTCTGGGGCGTCAATGTCCTGTCTTCAAGGACTCTATCCTGACCCTGGTGAGAGGCACTGACCTGTCTCCTCCTGGCCCTCCCAATACTTCCTGGAAACTTTTCAGTGAGTTGCGGGAGCTGCCCTGTTCTACCCCAGTGGGGAAGGTGATGCTTTATTTTGAGGGGTCGGAGGAGGGAGGTCTTTCCTAAACATTTCCCAGGCAGTCTATCAAAAGCAATCAAGCAAACAGACAAAAGTGTGATGGAGTGTCTCCCCTCAAGAAATGAGGGTTTATGGGGGCCAGCAAGTAGTGTGGTGGTTAAGGTGCTGGACTCTCATATGGCTGATCGCAGTTAAAGCACTGGCCCCGATGGCTTGAAAATCATGCGGGGTGCACCTGCGTATGTGTGGGTTATGTATGGGCCCCCAAATCCCAGGAGACAAATGGAGGAGAAGGGATTGTGGCATGGCCATCCCCCTTTAAGGGCGATTTCCTGCTTTCCCTCTCACTGTCTTGCTCTGTCTCTGGCGAATGCTCTATGACAAAAACCTAAGAGACAGAGAGAGAGCGAGAGGAAAGAGAGAGATAGAGAAATGAGTGTTGAGGACCAGTAGGTGGCATGGAGGTTAAGGTGACTGGATCCCACATGACCAACTGCATAGTTCGAGTCCCAGACCCAGCAGTTTGAAAATTATGGTGGGTGCCTCTGTGTGTGTGCCCAAAATCTCAAGAAGAGAATGGAGGAGAAAGGATTGTGGTGTGGCCACTACCCACCCCTGGGAGTGATTTCTCATTTTCCCTCTCTCTCTGTCTTTATTGCTATAGGGAGCATATGCACCCTATAGAAAAAATAAAAAAATAAAAAAAGGAAAGAAAGAGAAAAAAGAAAAAGAAAAAAAGACATGAGTGTTGGATCGCTCCTGTAGTACTGGAGTGCAGTGGTCAAGTGCTGGGTGCAGGACTGGATCCCTCGTGGCCCCTCACAATTCCATTTGGCCCAGAGGATTAGAAACCACAATGGAACGCATGTGTGCAAGTCCCAAGTCCTGACAGGGTGGAGAAGTGGGGTAACAAGAGTTGTTCTGTTTCCAATTCTCCCTATGACAAGTTCACACGCCCTCTGGCAATTAAAAAGAAAGAAATGTGTGTTTTTTAGATTTTTTTTTTTTGAGAGGTTTTTGCTATAGGGCGCGTGCGCTCGCCAGACAGACAGAGAGAGACATAGAGACAGAAAGCAGGAAATCACCCCCCACGGGGGATGGTCACACCGCAATCCCTTCTCCTCCATTTTCCTCTCGGGATCTTGGGCACGCACGCACACGCACCCAGCGTGAGTTTTAAGCCACCGGGTCCGGGACGCGAACTGTGGTCGACCACGTGGGAGTCCAGCGACATAGCCATTATGCTAACTGCTGGTTCCCTATCTCTCTTTGTCTTTCTGGCAAGTGCACATGCCCTCTAGCAAAAACCTCTGCAAAAAAAAAAAATAAAATCCTATTCTTTTAGACTTCAATTTATACTTTTATTACGAAATTTATATTTTTATCCACGTTTCTCAATCAATTATCATCCATCTTGTTTAAATTTTTATTAGAGTAAGCCATTAAAAGGGGGGTGGGGCTGGTGGCGTGGTGGTTAACGTGGCTGGATCCCATATGGCTGACCCGGCAGTTTGAGGCTTAAAAAACATGCCAGACAATATGGGTGTGTAGGTGCCCAAAATCCCAAAGGAGGGAGAAAGGGGGAGAAGGGATTGCAGCATGGCCATCCTCAAGGAGGAGTGCTTTCCCTGTTCCTCGCTCCTTCTTTCTCTCTCTCTCTCTGGTGATCACATGTGCTCTCTGGCAAATTGCTTTTTTTAAAAAAGTGTTTTTGGACAGAGAACAGTTGAATACCTCTAAGGGAGGACAGGCTGTGGGCTGCCATGGCTGGAGGTTCTGCAGAACCCCTCTGTCGTGCCCCTGCAGTAGGTCTGGGAAGCTCAAGCCTTGTTAGGAAGTCCTGGCGACCTGTCTTCCAGGGCCGCTGAGGGCTTACATAAGTACTGGGGAAAGGAAAGAAAACCCGGGTTTACTCAAGGGCTGCAAGACGTGGGGAAGGGCAACAGGTGTAAGGAAGTGAGTACGTTCCACTCCCCGCACACCCTGTTCATCGTCACTCCCTTGGCCCCACTTACAGCCCCTGCTGTAGGGCTGCCTTGGGGTGCTGAGCTTCTGCCTGCCGTGGCTCAGTGTAAGGCACCTGCTTCTGGGTCCAGCAGAGACTCTCTGGGACAGCACATGACTGTTTTGCTCACTGGGATTTGCAGGGTGCTGGGGGGAGGGGGGGTGGTGAGCAGGAGGTGCCCATGGGGTTGGTGGCAGGGATTGTCCCTGTGTTGCAGAAAACCAGACACCGAGGAACAGAAAGCAGCACTCGGAGAGATTAGAAGAACTGTTTATTATGCCGGCAGGCACAGAGGAGTTAACACTCTGAATCTCTGGCCTGATTGGGGGTTGGACATGGTCTTTTATGGGGAGATTGAGAAAGGGGAGGTCTCAAGATGCTAGGAATGGGAAAGGGGCTCAGAACCCACCTGCACAGCATCAAAGGGAGGAGGCAGAGAAGCAGGAAGTCTAATCCATTTAAGGTACTAATCTATTCAAGGTGCTAATCTATTCAAGGTGCTAATCTATTCAAGGTACTAATCTATTCAAGGTGCTAATCTATTCAAGGTACTAATCTATTCAAGGTGTTCAGGTTACCCTGTAGCTCCGAGGAGTAAATTTTTGAGGCCAGAAACTTCAGGGAGCTATCAGCCCTGAGTTCTTAATGAATTCAGGTCTCTCCATATCATTCCACCCTCTTGAGCCTCCTCAACTATACTTAAGGAGTGTCAATTAACACGAGGATGGTGGATGAGTGGATTGAGGTTTTCCCACAATATCCCAAATGTCTCTGACCTCTCCAGTTATTAAAAGTCTGCACTTTCCAGAAGGCTTGGGAGATCAGTAGTTGGAGGAAGTGATTGATTCAGAGACTCTGGAGAGATGGCAGGTCCTGGGGGTGGATCTTAGCCCAGAGATTCAGAAGCTGTGCAGCCT